TATTATATAATTAAATATATATATATATATATACGTATGTATGTATATATATATATATATATATTGTACCAACATGTGTCGCCTAGGATTGCCTGCTGGGTGGTGCTGAACGAGTGCCCCGACGCCTTCAATCTCGTCGGCCCGGACTGCAGCAGCTGGGGCCTGCCAGCAAGATCCACAAGTATGAGGTCGAAGATCAACCCATTTGGGAGGATGGGGCTTACTTGGGTATCTTCGAACAACTGCTTGGTGAGCAGGCCTGCAACTATAGAGTTATTTATATAGAGTCCATGTCATCATGCATTCCAGGCAAATCGTGAGTTTTGAAATTGCTAGGCTTGTGCTCTTCCTGCTCCTCGTCATGGCTAGACAGTGCACATGGCTTATCGAACAGCCCCACCAGTCACTGCTGAAGACACACCCTCGCTGGGACTGGATGTGCAACCAAGTTGTGAGAGCCTCTCGATCAATTGCAGTAATATCATGCATGCCTTGTACCTATGCAACTTCGTATCTGTAGCCTGCTGATCCCTGATGACGCAAGGTTTTCGAACAACGCTTTTGGATGATGCTGCATGGTGCGGCAAGCCCCAAGGCAACCGTTGTGCTATCGCCGATGCCTACGATATCCCAGTTGGATCTTGGCCGTCTTACAAAAGCCGAGAGGCAGAAGCGCAACAAGCTGTCTACAGTCCGCACCATTGCTGAATTCGATCACATAAAACCCAAAACCCAGCCACCCACAGCCAAGGCAGACACGTCGACAAGCACGGCCGGGCTCGCTTCACGGGTCGCAGGAATGAGCTGAAGATGTCTGGGTGCCTGGCCGACAGAATAGGGCCGGCTTGGATGGCATAGTGGTTAAGGTATATAGGATGGAAGGGTTATGTAACTGAGGGGTTTTGGTTCTTAGGTTGTGCGAGCCCCCATCATTATGATTATGTTGTCTCATTGTTGGCTAGGCACCGACTGCTCGATCTACCGGAATATATATATATATACACATTGCCCAGCCCTGATGTAGACTTCCTGGGGTCAAGTCATACCGAATCCTAGAAAGCAACAAGCCTAACACATACCCAGACCCTTTAAGCACCTCAAACCTTTGAGTTTCAAGTACTTCAGTGCTTCGGGTTTTCAGAGTCCAGGGCCTTTCACGGCTTAAAGCATTTCAGCCTTCTAAGGGATTTTCGGATTTAGAGTTTTGTGGGGGTGGGATGGGATGTTGGTATTTTTAGGGTCAAGGCTCGGTGCATTTATATCCTAAACCCTGAACCCTAAACCCTAGGCCCTAAACCCTATATATATATATATGTATATATATATATATACATATACATATATATATTATATATATTGTCATCGCTATACATGTATGCACATATATATATATATACCCTAAACCCCAAACCTAGCTTTGGAGAATTTTAGTTCATGCAATGCACATGGAGGAAGACAGGCAGGTAGAGAGGTTGCCCGGTGGGTCTGGTATGTGTAGGTACAGGTTGCTAGGCTAGCTAAGCCAGGCAGGTCGATGCTGCTGGGTAGTAAGGAGGCTTCAGGGAGGTGTGTCGTTACGTAGGCGAGCAGGCAGGCAGGCTGGATGGGTTTTGTGAAAGGCATAAGCTAGCCAGAGCCCCAGACCCCCGAATCGCTTTACATTCAGCAGCCCAATCCGAAACCATTAAGGCCCGAGGATATGTAGGGGATGGCCCCATTTCTCATCCCACTGCCTCCCTGAGTTCTTCTTCTTCTTAAGCTCTCTGTCGGTGTAGATCATCTATATGCCGAACCCCCACACCTAGCTACTTCTACATATATAGACTACATATTGTCGACCGCCCTGCTGCCGCCAACCATGCCATGACCTGTACTAACTAAGTGCATACACCAGCGACTTCGGGAAGAACCTGCTGAAGGCCTATGAGGACTGGAAGGTCTTGCCTTCCTCGACACGAGGAGACCTACGTGGGCGACAGCAAGTGGACTTGACGAAGAGTGACAAGGAGATCTTCCAGTCCCTGCCGACCGGTGATCTGTGGCTGGACAGTCGCATGCACGAAGTGTTCTTGTACTTGTACAACTGCAAGCATGTCCTGCTTCTCGACCGAATTTAAATGTATCTAGCCATATGCAATGAGAGCTTTTCGTGTACATATATACACACACACACAACTTCTGCATGCGGTCTTTGATCAGGATACCAGACAGCTGGAACGACACAATGGAGGAGTTCAAGCAACAAGTCCATGGTGTTGCGACTTTCCTCAATATATAAACCTAGGATTGTGAATCAGCCCTAGGAACCTCAACTAAGGCATGTGGCTCCGAGGACCTGCGAAGTGATCTGCAAGCCTTAATTGAGCTGTCTTCGAGTTCTAATTAAGCTAGCTGCTGCTGGTTGCCACGGTTTCAGATGTCGAGCTGCCGGGCGGGGAGGCGACTAGGGTCACTAGGCTAAGTAAGCTATTCAGAAGGCAATCCCCTTATCTAGGGACCCAGAGGACTATATAGATCACTGGGCTAAATAGAATGTGCTTCCCTGATCCCCGGCCCTGACTGGGAACCCGACTGGCTAGACTATTTAGAAGGCAGTCGCCTGATCTCCGGGTGCCCCGGCCCTTGCTAGGCTAATTAGAAGGCAAACCCCGGAACGCCCGGCACAATTGACCCAGGTAATGGCTCTTAACTAAAAGTCCGGTCTCTTTTTGTTTTGGACGAATTTTAGGTGCTAACAGCAAAACAGCCCGGACCTTTTTACCCGCACTCCGGCCGCAAATCCCCGCAACCCGGCCGCAAATCCCCGCAACCGGCCGCAAACCAAATTTCCATATCAAACCGAAAAACACAAGCGGCCTGATTCTCAAAAATCCGGTTTGATTTCCTGATCCGTGGCCTCGTAGAAGCTGAGCAGACGAAGATTCTGGGGACTCCTGTCAAAAGCCACGCTTGTGTGTGCATGTTTGCAATCTCTGGCATCAGTGTGCATGGTAATGGCTTGCTTAATGCGATTGTGTGGATGTGTCGCAGAAAGGCTCTAGAGGCAAGGAGCAAGGACGAACATATGGCCTCCCGACAAGGCTCCTGCAATTCCCTGCTAGCTGGGATTAATCTGCTGGGGCACAACTCAATGGCTGAACAACATGCAAAGCCTGATCTCCAAGCTCGAATTGCGGCCTATTGTCTGCACGTAATAGTACCCAGCCATGAACGTGTATTTTGCAAGTGCAGGGGCCCAACCAAACTGGTATCCCTCCACTGAGGCTTCCAAAGCAAGGATTCAAGCTTTGCAAGCACAGCTTGCGAGTCGCCGGTCCTCCAACGCGGCAGTGCACGTGGACAGAGAGCCGCCTGCAGGTGGGAAGGTCTCCACATACCTAAACCCTAACCCTTAACCCTATATACCTATATAGGTACATGTATCGTATATATATATATAT